ATATCCTCTCCATCAAGAATGCTAAATTCTTCACAAATCCATTCATTCAGTATGTCAATGTTATCTAGGCTAATGAGATCTAAAGCCTCTCTTGTTTTACTTAAATTTCAACAAAGTATAAACATGAAAAAAAACAACATGAATATAAACAATATATATTAATGATAAATCTAATTTTAAAAAAATTAATATCATTATTAATGAAAATAACAATAATTATTTTTAATATTATTTTTAATATCATTGATATTGAAAATAATAATGAAAAAGAGCTTTTTATAGTTTATACTTGGATGGTTTAATTAATCAAATTGAACCGGATTCAATTTGATTTAAAGGCTTTTCAAGTATCGAAAGGAACATGTAAAATGAAATCGAAATATTTCAGCTGAAATTTAATCTAAAAAATATAGAACAAATTGAGATTTGAAATAAAATAAAAATTATTTTATTTTATTTTATTTTTTAAATTGATATAAAATGTTTATGTCATTTCGAACAAAACAGAATATAATTAACAATCTTAAAAAATATCTATAGGCATAGATAAGCGTTTTTTTTTATTATTTTAATAATATTCAAGTAATTTTTTTAAAAAAATGAGCTACCTCTTAACAAATATAAAATAATAAATAGACCCATAAAAAAGTCATTTTACCTCCCCAATTGATTATTTTATGGAGAACAAAACTGTCATTTCACTGTTAGAATCCATATTAAATCAAAGTATACCATCATGTTTTAGATTTTTGCAATTAGTTTTGGAGAGTGGCCCCTAATTTTCTCCTAGAAACGGTGACGCATCACTAATCACGGATAAAATAACATCCATCTTTTGTTTTGAAGTGGCTAGGCCACGTGCATCCAACCCAAACACGTGGAATTGGCCCCGTCCAAGCGAGGTGTGGCCCGCATCCCATCCCAATTTCCTTTTTTTTTTAAAAAAAAAAATTCTTTTCCATTATTTATTATTTGCTCAAAATAATATTTCTCTCATTAATTAATACTTATTTTATGATTTTTATATAAACTCTTTAACTACCCTTCCAATGTACGTTGATTGTTATTGACTCTTCTAATTTATTTATTTTTAATAAATAATAGTTGTATGCCTTTTTTTATTGATCAAAACTAAACACATACATAATATATACATAAAATCAGACATAAATACATACATGGTGTTAAATATTTAAAAATAAATTTTAAATTAAAAAAAAAACAGCAATTAATATTGATTTCATTTTGATACAAGCGAATGAATAGTAAATACGAAGGGCTTGTAACACTGGGACAGGGCGTTGCTTGATCTGTGCTCAGGGTTTTTAAGCCAAGAAATCAGCTACTTGTATTAGTTTAACACCATCCAAGATCAAGAAACTTGCCTGTCACGTAGTTTAGTGATAGTAATGTGTGAAATGAAGAATCTAGGGAAACTAAAAACATTAAAATAAGATTAACATCAGGATCTGAGCCTGTAATTTGTCAAAGAGGAGGAGAGATTGAATTCAAAATGCAATCTTCTCAAGGCAATTCTAGGAAGAAAGACACTCGTCTTAGAAGATGCTGAAGAAAAGCAGCTCAAGGTCTCTACAGTGCCGTCCTGGAGGCCTTCTTACAATGCTATGTCCTCTCTTGCTCATCAGCCTCCTCACAGTTGTCATCTTGAGTTCCGATGTCTCTTATCTTCACTTCTTCGACACCAACACTTTACCTCACTTGTTCTTCGACACCAGCGCGAATGATATCCCCCACACCCCTGTCGTTTTTCCCTATTCACTTCATAGCCAAATCTCCAATTTGCAGACCCAACTAGGAGCCTTGCTTGGGCAGCTTCACAATGAAAGCTCAGAATCAAAAGTAGCAAAATTTTCTGATCAAGTTCTGCGCATAGCCGTATCAGTGGACAAGCTTGTTAACAGCCTCTCCAGCATATCAGGCAATGCTCCTGCTAGTGGAGATGGAATGAGCAGGGTGGAAGAAGATTTAAGTGAAGCTGGGGAAGGTGAAGATCAAGAAGCACCTGGTGCAAAGGTATTCAACACAGGTGAGCTTCATGAATATACCTCTCCAAAACTCAACAGGCCAAGCGGCAAGAAGAACTTTCTTGGGGTGGAGGCAATCAGTCCTTCCATTGGCTTAACATGTGCCCATATGGCCACAACTATAAAGCGTTTCATGAGTTACAAAGTGTATGGTATGTGCCCAGATGATTGGGACTTGGCTCAAAAACTTATTACCAGTGGATGTGATCCATTGCCCAGAAGGAGATGCTTGTCAAGAGCATCTCCAAACTACAACAAGCCATTTCCTGTGAACTCCTCTCTTTGGACCCAACCTAGGGATGATAATATCTTGTGGAGTCATTATAAATGCAAAGGCTACTCTTGTCTTGTTTCCAACGAAACAAGAGGCAGAAGAGGCTTCTTCAAATGTGAAGACTGTTTCGATCTTTCGAAACGGAGATGGGAGATCTCAACTAATGAGTCTATTTCAGCAGAGTTCACCATTGATCAAGTTCTAGCATTGAAGCCAAGAGAGATTCGTATTGGACTTGATTTTAGCCCCACAACCGGCACATTTGCTGCACTTATGAAGGAAAGAAATGTTACTATTGCATCAGCAACCTTAAATTTAGGGGCCCCTTTTAACGAGGTGATTGCACTACGAGGCCTCTTGCCTCTATATCTATCGATTGGATCAAGATTGCCATTCTTTGACAACACACTCGATATCATTCATTCTACTCTCTTCTTGGATGGTTGGATTGGGAAGGAACTTCTCCAATTTGTGTTGTTTGATTGGGACCGTGCTCTTCGACCAAAGGGGATCCTTTGGGTGGATCGTTTCTTCTGTTCGAAAGAGGTCATGAAGCTGTATTTGGATGAGTTTGCAAGCCTGAGCTACAAGAAACTACTATGGAAAGTGGTGCCAAAGATAGATAAGGATGGAGATGAGCTTTTCTTTTCTGCTGTTCTCGAAAAACCTATTAGGCAATGAGATTGCCAAGATACATAAGGGCCTAAGAGTGTAAGTAAATGATAATAACCCTGTTGGTTAAGGCATGATGAGTTTATTAAATCTCAATTCTTATTTTCCATTTATCTTCATTGCTCTCTAGAAATAAGATGATTAAATCAATATGGATTTTAAGCATTTCCTTCTAACATTAAAGTGCAAAAATTACACCTTCATTCATCACAAATTGAGCACTTTGTTGCAACACAATCCAACATTGCCTCCTAATTCTCCAAGGTGGAAGCTGGCAACAATTGATTTCTGCAAGCAGATGCACGGCATGTTAACTGCTGTAAACAATACCTGCAGTGAACTGCAGCATCTTTGGCAAGCCTTCGCACTAAGCAAGTCTGAGGCAACTGCTGTAAACAATACCTTCAGTGAACTGCAGCATCTTTGGCAAGCTTTCGCACGAAGCAAGTCTGAGGCTAACACAGCATACGGATGATATTGAGCACAATTTTCCCTTGCTGGTTTCTCTCACTGATGATATTGCAGTAGCGAGCGCTTAAATCACCCGAACCCAAATAACTACCATTTTGAACAACCTGCAACTCTTGCATGAAACCAGCGGACCAAATATTGGCATTGAATTCAATGAGTAATCAAACTTTATTATGGAAGAGATTTTGTTCAGACATACAACTGTTTCAGCTAAAACAATTATCTCTGTGGTCTTCCAGATAATGCAAAAATAATTCTGTGAGTTCAAAATGGAAAAATCACATTATAATTGCATCTAGCAAATATAATATTTTGCTACAAGGATACACCTGCAGAGCATCTGATTGACTCATTTGTCCTAACCTTGCATTCCTGGGGAGAGTCAAAACATCTGTGCCTGGAATCTCAGATGGATTAAAAAGTCTTCAAAATATCGTAACTAATCCAGATTCAATAGCCATGAGGTTGGCTCCTCAATAGTATGATAATGCTAAAGACCAACAATGCTGTATCAGGGTTATGAATACAAGAAAAACTCTTCTGCATGTGTAAAACAACCAGTTCCAAAGATAACTTGATGGAGCCAGCTTCAGACCCAAATCTCTACATTGAGCAATAGCAGGTTCACATCTATTCATCCTTTACACACAGCCGCTCTGAATGGAGAAAAGCAAGGTATCCTCAAACTTAGCATATTGGTGACATACAATTATATAGCAATTAAAACATAATTGCATAGAAAAACAAATGTAAACAACAAGCAAACTATTAACAAGATCACGAACAAAAATAGTCAAGCAGACATGCAGTCTGATATTAGATAGCAGGTCCTAAATTAAACCACCTGAACAAATTTATCAAATCAAAGCCCTCCAAAAGTGAACTGTGGTCATCATCATTGAAGTTGCAAAAACAGGAGAGGCCTGGGTCACATATCAGGGAATTGTTAACAGACCATTCAAGTACCTTGTAGGTAGCTCTCAGCCAAGAAAAATCTCAAACTCTCGAGATGTATCTAAAAATTATGCTAGAAGAATAGGTATATAGTTAAATTTTGGCAACTTCTCCAATAATCATGTTAATATGCACACATTCTTCGCATCCAGTCAGACATTTCCCTTACTTTAAGCTATAAACGGGTCACCATAAATGAACTAAGAGTTTTGACTTCAATAAATAGGCAAAAAGAAAAAATGGGGCAGGTCAAAGTTTAACTATATACATCACTACTCCTTCAAGCCCATAATAAGGTAGCAATTGGGAATGTGGCCCAATCACTGTTTAGCAAAACTCTGAAATTTTTATTTTTGCTTAAAATTATTTTTTTTTAATATTTTTGAATAGTTTTGATATGCTGATGCCAAAAATGAATTTTAAAAATAAAAAAAATATTATTTTGATGAATTTCCAAATAAAAAAACACTTTAAAAAAACAACCACTACCACAATATCAAATGATACCTCAGTGCACATCATAGAAAATATTTTAATTTATTTTTTAAATAAAAAAATCAATTAAACCATATACTTTTTTTTTATATATTTTATAAGTTAAATGTTTTCGCAAATTTAAAATATGGGACTGATTTTTTTCACGACATTCTAAGCCACCGCTCATCTTCTAGGCTTGAATTTCTCAGAGAAAAAGAACTAATCAAATGAACTTCAACTTGTAAATAATGTTTAGAAAAAGAAAGGGATGAAGAAAAGGTAAACATCATTTCATGAAGCACCAACACCAGATGTCTTAACTGATTATCTTAGCTACCGCCTTCCAAGAAGCATCTTTTGACCATATCTGAGGTACTACAATAGAGCCCCAAATCAGCTTTCAAGCATATCAAATACTGATTGCACCAACTTTTTACTTGAATAATTTCAATTATAATATTTCCATACAACTTATAGACACCCAGTGATCAGCTTCTGGTTTCAGAGTTCTCAAATGTACCAGCTCTTGAGGAATACGGGCCACTCCAACACTCAAGTTCAGCATCCAGGCAGTAGAGGCCCAAAGGTACATAACAGATATAGAAGCCATTTGATTCATCCAGTCAATTAAGCTTCCCCTATGCACTAGTTACAAGTTATACTTTGATGATGGTATGAATGGTTATTGTATGTTAAGCTAACTGTAAACCCTATTTAGTCAGTATTCAAATGAGTGACAATACAATCCAAAGAATATGTGCTCAATCAAGTAAGAACACATTATATGAGGATAAAACTTAATTCGTTCTGCTCAAAATATGCCAAATCAAACAGATTCCAAAATACAATTCACACAACCGAAAGAAAAGACCCCCCAGAATGCAGATACAAGGTTTAGGCCATTCCAATAGGAGCTAACGGGACAAGGAAGGAATTTAGAGGGTAGATTATGAAATGCAGCCAACTACTTGCAAACCATATTGTTGTTTGAAGCCCCAAAATCAGAAATTAACAATGTTAAAATTCTCACATAATAATCTCATTGTATGAAAAAAGATATATACACATAACACCAAAGGTGAAAGAGAAGAAGGAATGCATACTCAAATATTCATAGGCCAATATCATTGTGGTTCCCCATGCTGACATGCTGAAAAATCTGGGACCCAACCCTTTGTAGAAGCCTGTCCAACCATCATCCTTAATCAAGTTTATAACAACTTGTCTTGCAGAGCTTCTTCTTTCATGTCCCATCACCTAACAATAAAAACAACAAAGTCATCAGAAATGAAGTGTGTGTGTGTGTGTAAAAACAGAGAGACTAAAACCAAAGAAGATAGAAGCTCCTTTTAAGCTTGGTTTACAACAAATTCCCCACAGGATGAAGAATTTAGAGAAAATCTTGTGGTTGTAGGCCTAAGCCCAAAACTTTATCATCGCGCCAAGCAATGGCCTCTGATTTACTCTTTTCAAAATACTTTTTTCAGAAAAGACTCCAGCATTTATTTCAAGAGTATTTTATGAGCTATATTTTCCTTTTTCAATGATGTTTTTCCATCAAATTATAGAAAAACAAGGATGTGAGCTCCCAAAAAAAGGCAAGTGTTATGAATAAGGGTAAACCCAATAGTACGAGCAGAACTGATAAAAATAAAAATTAACAAAGTAAGCAGAAATGAAATATATATTAAAGAAAACAAGGAACTACAACCATATAAGATATAAGCTTCTTTTAAAGTCGAATTACAACAAAATCCCCATTAAATTCAGATTGCAGGATGGAGAATTTAGGAAAACCTTATGATTGTAACTCCAAGTCCAAAACTTTAATATTGCATCAAGCAATGGCCTCCAAATTTTCTTTTTTCCACAATACATTATCAGAAATGACTTCAGCATTTATATGAGCTACATTTTCTTTTTTCAATTATGTTTTTTGCACCAAGTCAAAATTCAAGCAAGGTTCTAAATTACCCAAAATTAGGCATGGGTTATGAAGAAGCATAAATCCAATAGCAAAAGGAGAAATGTTAACAAAATAAAAGTTCTCATCTAGCCCAGAAAAAAGATTTATTTGCAAGTAGTGGCATCAAAAGTTCTAGGAAATTTGAAAAAGAAAAAATGAGGGCCAGGGAGGTGAGAAAACACTGCAGATAATTATTCAATTGAGTGAGCCATAGAGAAAATGGTAAACATTAAGTCGCATAGCCAACTGCCAAAAAGTCTAGCTGGAAACTTAAGCTTCATGTCTTTTTATTTGACAGAGTATTTGAAGCTAAAAATCACTGTAATGCTTAGGATTTCTCTTCCAAGGTTACATAGGTACTGGTTTGCAGGTTGTCTGTGCACTTAAAGCATGATGCAAAAGGAGCAGAAAGAAAATAATGAAACAAGGCAGTGGCTAAACCTTAAGCAGGTTCAAGGATACCTGTAAACGAGTCTTAATTGTATCTAATGGGGTTGTGATGCAGGAAGCTGTAGCTCCCGCAATAATTCCTCCAGTAGCCTGAACTAGCATTATAGTTGACTTGCTAGGAGCAGCTTCCTCACGATCAGTACCCTGGCCTAAAAGCCTAACCAAAACAATCAGCAACTTTATCAGAAAAGGTTGAGAATGCACAAGTTCACAAACAAGGTTTTGATCACAGCCGCTAGTACTTGTATACTTGTGTGCATGCAGCATAGCCAACTATTCATAACCTCACAGTGCTTCTGTCTGTCTATAACCACTATCAGTATTCCTATGTGTCATTTGACATCAGTTAAGCATACATTCCAGGAACTTTTCACCGGAGTTAGGATGCCCTCCTCAGGGTAGAGGACATTGAGGATTGAGGAAACTCAAATATATTATTAAGAAATTCCTTCAGTTCAATCTAGATCCTAAGTCCCAAAACTAAAATCTGAAGGCAAATCAATGCCTCTCCAATGAGAAGACAGAAAAATAAGCAAAGCCATCTCATTTCTCACCTCCAGATGATGCGTTGGCTTGAGCCATAACTCGCCCACCATACAGCACTAGATGGTGAATAAGTCATGACTGACAGACCAAACCCCCTGTAAAATCCTCTGATGCCATCAGTCCTTATAATCTTGCGAGCAACATCCAGACCCCCATTATACTTCTCATGGCCAGAATATCCTTGTACCATCAACCTTTGGCTAATCTGAACAGAATCACTACAAAGAAATTCAGCATTTTTATTACCTTTTTTTCTCTCCGGGGAAAAAGAAAAAAAAGGGGATCATGGGTTTGTAAGACTTTGCTAAGTATAGTGCAGAGGTTAGATGCAAATCCTTATGAATTGATCGTAATTGTTGTGCACCAGAGGTCATCTGATAACGCACTAACATTTTGCTTCATGGATTTTATTAAAGACATAAAAATATGAATTGCTAGCTAAAAATTAAGGTTTCTCCTACATAACGTGAAATTCAAACCACAACGTATAGATAAATAAACATCCCTTGGAAGCTCCTTTTATTTTCCTCATTTTTACAAGAGGATGAATGCTAAAAAGAACAAGAATCACATACCAAATCAATGGGAACAAAGACAGCTTGAGAACAAAGAGACGCTGTCATGCCACCAATACCATTTGCTAAGGCTGCTTGTGTTGGTTCAGAGAAATTAAATGGCTCAACCATCTTGAAAGCAGTCACTTTCGTGGTCTCCAATGCAGTAAGAAAGATAATCCTAGCAGGAACTGCACCAGTGATGACAGTACCAAACCCTCTGTAGAGACCAGGAACCCCATCTGTTTTCAGTATGCCTCTAATAACAGAAGATGCACTTTTCTCAACAGTATCCCTCGTAGCAACCTGAAGTCTAGTTTTTATAACAGACACTGGGTATAAACCAACTGTAAGCCCAGTAAATATTCCCGCTCCCACAACATAAAACTTAGACTTATCGAGCCTGCAAAATAACAGGTAGTGGAAACAAGCCAACTAGAGATGAATGAACTATACTGTTTAATTATTTAAAAAAATAAAAATTTTCAAATCTGACATTTCCCATCATGAAAATCTTCATTATAATCACAAATACTCCCTAAACCCACTTAAAAATGAAAATCAAGTCACCTTACAATTCGTTTCAGGAAAAAAAAAACCGAAACCTAGCTCATCAAGCTAGTTTCTCGGTTCCTCAAATCATCCATAATAAATGCACAACGATTCAAAAACATCTCATATTAGTGCCATAAGGGAATGAAGCAAAAACCTCATGTGGGTCTATTACAAGGTTCATTTTCCCGGTAACAAAACGAAAAAGAAGAGCAATAATCAATCCATGATAAAAGACGAAGTGAAAAGGTAGTTTACTTGTCCCAGTTGATCTCGGTCTGGCCAAGTGATGATGCTGCCATTTGATTTGATGCTATACTCTCTCTCTCTCTCTCTAAAAAGAAAAAGAAAAGCTTGGGAAATGAAATCAAGAACGTATTTTTTTGTTTAGTTTTTCAAGTTATAGCGAAAAGATATTCAGTTTTGAAGGGTTCTTTGAATTGATTTGGTCAAACAGCTACCCAAAAAACTTGAAACCCAAGAATTGGGGACTTCTCTTTTCTTTATATATTTGTTTGTTTGATTTCTTTTCGCGAAATGAATTGCAGCTAATAAAAACTTGGAGATCAAACAAAACAATTCTTTCGTTTTTTGACTTGAGAAAAAAAAAAAAGTACTTTTCTCTTTAAAATTTTCAATTGAGCCCGACGCGGCTTCATGTTAGCCGACAGGAAATAAATTAGGTTTGTTTTTGACGGTGACTCCTCGAGTTTTTTCGAACCGCCAATCTTATAAGTGTGTTTATTTAAGAAGAAATAATTATATATATATATATATATATATATATATATATATAATTTTACTTTGTTAATATTAAAAATTAAAAATTAAAAAAATTATTTTAATGTATTTATGAATAACATATTTGAAAAGCAAAAAATTATTTTAATATATTTATGAATAACATATTTGAAAAGCATATTACATTATAATATTAAATTCACACTTAAAAAAATAATAATTCATGACTCAAATTATAGATTATATTAAATTCAATAAGATGATTTTATTTAATTATATAACAAAAAATTAAGGACAATAAATAGACTGATTTTATCTTGACATAGTGACAACAATGTCCAAAACAAAAGGAATGCTTGTAAAAAATTAAAAAATTAAATTTTAATATAACTTAATATTAAATAATAAAATTAAAAAATATGTATCAAGTCAAGCTAAAATATCATGTAAAACTCACAATCCACATTATTAGGTCACACCAATTTCATTAAAAACAAATTAAAAAATAGTAATGGTAAATTCTCAATAACCCAAATGTATAATTTAGGGTGATTATTTTTTGTTCGATTCAGTTTTTACCTATAAAAACAATCAAAATAAAATTTTATAAAATACAAAAAAATAAAATCAAAATCGAATTGAAATTAATTCAAACTGATCGGTTTCGATTCAGTTATTTTATATTAAAAATTGAAACCTAACAAGCTGGTTTTGGTTCTATTCGGTTCTATTTTGGTGCAATTTGGCTAGGTTCGGTTATTTTATATTAAAAACCAATTACTATATTATTTTTTGGACTTTCTAATAGGTTTGGTTTTGGTTTGATTTATTTTTTTGGTTTGATTTTTTTATTTTTTCGGTTTGGTTTTTCAGTTTCAGGCTTATAAAACTAAAATCAACCAAACTGAATATTTTTTAAAATATTCTAATAAGTTTTCAATTTTTTTTGTTTTTTTTTTCACCCCTTGTATAATGATAAAATTAAAAAAAAATCTCAGTCAATAAAAAAATTTCAAAAAATAAAATACTTACAAACGTAGATAAAACTGTTAAACCTCGCAAGTTGAATCATATAAACGAGATAACCTAACAAAGAAAAAAATAAGAGAAATGACGAAGCTTAATTATTTAAAAGAACCCAAATTTAAAATGACAAATCACAATCATAGACTTAAGGATGAAATTAAAAACAAATTAAAATTTCACAAAAGGACCAAGAAAACAAATTAAAATAAAACAAATGAGTACTAAAACTGAAATATCAGTAAATGAGAGGAGAACTCTGAAACTTTAAATGGTCAACTATAATATTAAGGAGAGGAGAGAAAAATAAAAGAAAAAATATTGTCGACAAAACACTGTCACATAAATGACAACATGTGCACCACATGAAAAGAGATGTCTTGATGCTTTCAATATCATCACAAAAGCTATCATTTGGATGTCTAAAAACACAGCATGCATCACCAAAAGACCATAAATGCCAGCCACCTATTAGCACATGCCAGCCAAATTTGATTTTTAAATTATATTTTATATTTATTAAAATATTTAATTGTCTTTTTAGTCAACTTGATAATAATTAAAAAAATTAGAATGAAAATATAAAAAAGCCTATGGATACCAGTTAAATAAGATCATTCCAATTAATTTAGTCATTATACTATACTTTTAAATGAAAAAAGACCTGATCATTTTAATAATGACTAATAAAACTTATAAAAAAATAATATGACTCCTGATAACCAATTAATCAAATTCTTTTAGAAGAATAAAAATTGATCTTTACACTATTTCAATTAACAATGAATTCTCTCATAATGAATAATGGTTTTTTCCTCTTCAATTAGCTTTTGTTAATTATTTTTTTATTGTAATTTTTCAAGGTAGCTTCAATGATTTTTATTTTTTTTTATTTTTTTTTCAAAATCAAGAGCCCTAACAATATAAGTACTTAACTTTATATTTGATGGTTATAAAAATAATTTAAGAAATATAGATTTTAACATTAAGTTAAGATGGATTCTTTATCTATCAATCAATACTTTGAGGCTTAGGTGACAAATCTTTCCAACATGATTCTACGAAGGAGATGAGCTCATATAATTTTTTATGCAAAAAATAAATAAATTTTTAGGTTTACTAAAAAAATTATTTCAAGATAATATTTTTTATAATATTAAAATAACAAAATCTTTAAACAACTTAAAATAACTTATTAAACTCGCGATTTGAATAATAGACCAAACTATATTTAATAATTTCTTTTAAAACAATTATTTATTTAATAATAGGACAACAAAAGTTGAAACTTACAGTTAAAAAAATCAAATAAAAAATGATTATGATGGATTCCACAAAAAGAATGATTTCTAATTAAAAAAAAAAAATTTGTATGATCATAATTGAAAACACAACAAAAATCAAACTATTGTAAATAAAATAAATTCTAAATATATTTGTACTTAGTTTAAATTTTAATTAAAAATATACAAAATGTATTTTTAATTAGTTTTTTTAAATTAATTTAAATTGTTGAGAAAAGAAAGAAAAACATTCTAGAAAGCTAGTCTATAAGCCCAACGTTTAGGCCTTAAAAAATAAGCACATGTGCATGAGTTTATTAATACCCTCACACTAGTCCCTTTCTTCTTCTTTTAATTTTTTAAGTTGTTCATTCATCTTATTGATGTTTTATTAAAAAGAACAAAAATTAGATGTTGTTTTTTGCATGAAAGGACATGTCATTGCTTTATCTAGAATTCAATCACTATTTGGTGGTTGAAAAATCTGGGGAGGAGTTTCGGGACCTAAAAATAATTTTTCAACCCTTTTTAATCTAAAAATATCTAATAAATACTTTTAGAACAAAAAAAAATCAATTTAACAATACTAGAAAAACTCAAAAAACAACCCATAAACACAAAATTGAACTAGAAGAAATTTTTTCTCAACATCAATTTACTTTATTTTAGTATGATAGAGTTTCAAAAATACCTCAGTGAAACTCTCCTTAACGAATGGAACTAGTTAATACTAAGATTTCCCTTTTTTGTTGTTGAAACATGGAGAATCAATAACTTTCTCTCTTTTTGCAAAGAAAATGAACTATTGGACTAAAATGTTTATAGTCTAAACTAAAAGGATCAAAAATGAAAGTTGGCAAATCCTAAAGGCTTTTTTTTTTCAAATGTGGAGACTAAACGTTAAAACAAAAGAAAAAAGACTTTTTATTTCGCATTGTTAATTTTGATCTTTTAATTTAATTTTATTTTTTCAAACAACAAAAATAATTATTTTTTTTTTGCAAAATTAAGCATCAACTCAACATCAAAATAATTTTCAAGACCAAAATAAACTTATAAAAATAAAATCAAACAAATAACAAATCCCAATAACTAATAAGTATAATATCAAAGGACTAAATAAAAAAACAAATGAAAAAAATGGACGGAAAAAAAAGCTAGTAAGTTAATATTTAGATAATAATTATTATTTTGCTTGGAGGTCATGATCTTCCCTAAGTTTGTACATACCTTCACTAGATGTATGAGGTTGAGTTTTACTCGGTGCCTCATAAGTACTTGCGGTGTCCCAATTTTGAGCATTTTCAGCTAACAAGTTCCATTGCACATTAATTCAACTATTTGCCTATCTCTAGGTGTTAACCCTTCATAGAAATGTGAAACCAATCTCCATGTTTCAAAACCATGATGAGGGCAAGTACTAAGTCTCCATGTTTCAAAACCATGATGAGGGCAAGTACTAAGTAAGTCTCGATACCTATCCCAACATTGGTAAATTGTTTCTCCTGGTTTTTGAGTGAAAGTGGTGATTTATCTTTTGAAAGAGTTTGTTCTATGAGATGGGAAAAACTTCTTTAAAAACTGTTGTTGCATTTCATCCCAAGCACGAATGGATCCTGGTCTCAAATTTTATAACCATGTTTTAGCTTTATCTTTTAATGAAAAAGGAAAAAGCTTTAATCTCATAGTGTTCATGCTACAATTTAAATTATTATATGTGTTGCAAACCTCCTCAAATTCCCTTAAATGCAAGTATAGATTTTCCAATTCTAAGCCATGAAAAGAAGGTAAAAGTTGAATAATGCCTGGCTTAAAATTAAAATGAGATGCATCGGGAGGAAAAACTATGCATGATGGTGCACTTGTTCTTGTGGGATTCATATGGTCTCTAAGTGTTTTAGCACGGTTATTCTCATTATTCTCATTATGAAGTGATTGATTATCTTCTTCGGCCATATTTTCTGAAAATGATGAGGATACCCTACAAAGTCTACCACTTGATGTACATGACCACACTCTCATGCACGTGTAGGAATAGAATAAAAGGAAATAGAAAACAAAAGAAGAAGAAACAAGAGAAAAGAAACAAAGTTATATACAAAAAAAGTGAAAAGAGAAAATAAAAATTATAATTTATACAAAACTTACGTCCCCAGCAACGATGCCAAAAACTTGACACGACTAAAAGATTGATGTCTTCTCCCAAGTGCAGGAGTGTCGAAGTAATAAATAACCCGGCAAGACCGGGGTCGAACCACAGAGAGGTTAATTGTACAAATTATAAACGACAATAGTAACAACAACAACAATAATAATAGTAATAACAACAATAATAATAGTAATAACAACAATAACAATAATTACAATAATAGTAGTAGTAGTAGTAGTTGTAATAATAATAATAATAATAATAATAGAAGAAGAAGAAAAAAAAGAAAAGGAAGAAGTTGGTGAGAACTTTGAGATGGAAAGATTAACGTAAGGATTAAACAATGATAATAACAAATGTCAAGGTTAGAGGTTCCACTAATGGTATGTCAAACAAGTATAGTATAAACTCTTATTATTCAATTGG